GCCGCGCCTTCCACACCCGCCACGCGCGACCGCGAAGCGCACGCCGCCTGGTTTCATCAGAAACCCAACACGTGTCCTGGTCTCCCGGGTCCCAGGTAGTCTCAGGGTCACGCTCCAAAGAAAAGGGGGGGCCGCAGGGCACAACCCGGCTGGGATCGCGTTTCTTGACTCCAAGCTAAACGGTGTCGGTGGCTTAAAACGTGACCGGGAATTCCCCGTGGGGGAGCCGCAGGCTGCGGGCGAGGGGACAGCTCCTGACTCCGCCACCTCGTCAGGATCACCTGGACCCTTACCTGGCTGATGCACGGGAAAGACAAGGCCGGCACACAAAGCTGGGGGGCTCCGTGGCCAGGTACAGGGCGGGGAGAGAGAGGAAGGGGGACAGCGAGGGAGGAGACGCTTTAAACCAGTGAAGGGATTGGCAACCTCTTAGCTCTTCAGAAACCTTCGGGGACACTAGAGCTTTAGCTGAGCAATAAGCGAGCCTCACAGAATGAAAATAGCAGCATCTAATGAAGAGATGTAGTTAAAACCGCCTGATCCCGGGGCAGTTCTAAACACCTAATAAATATTCAAGAGTACGCAGGGTTTCCAAATGTAAGGTTCTTAAGTTTGACATAGAAAAGTTTGAGCAAAAATGTAAAAACACGACTCTCTCTCGGTTTGAGATAGGTTGCCGAGACTTCCATCAGAAGCAAAACTTCTCCAAGGACAGGACTTAGCCGGCGGCCGCCCGCACCAGAACCTTCAAATCCCCTGCAGCGTTTCAGTCAAGGCCCTGTCCCTGGGCCTGGCTAGTTCTGCCCAGGGTGGGCGTCCTTTATGGGCAACCTTTGTGTCCGACTTCCCCCACTGGGCAGGCTGAGACTTTCCCACGGCCACACCACAGTCCACCTGAGGCCCTTCCTGTCCAGGCATTTCTCCATCGCCTCCTTTCACAGCTGTCAGGCCTGCACCTTGGCCTGAGGCTTGTCCTTGTCCCTGCTTCCTCCCCACCCCCGACATCCTCCTCAGTAAATCTCTCGCCCTGTAACCCCCATCTGCTCTCTAGAGGGCATGAACCAGCATCCTTGGGAGCAATCAAACAGCCTGTGACGTTCAGAAACCAAAGAAGAGAAAAGAGAAAGCCTAAAGACAAGCCAGAGACCCCAGAAATAAGAAATGCATGTGAAAATGGGACATTCCCCGGCTTCAGACGGAGCATTTAAATGGTGGTTGGGAAGGGAGGAACCAACTCCACTGTAGGAACACTTGGCTCAAAGTGAAAGTTACGGGGGCTGGAGAAAGCAGAGTATTTTTGCAATAAGACTCTAACACTTGAGATAGATTAAGCCTGACACATTGCATGTTATAAAAATAAAAATAAGTTTCATAATCCTGAATTTGAATTTAAACAAGTATGCCTTTTCTCACACAATGTAGGCAGTGTTGCAAGATCTGGCTGTGTTGGTTCATTTTCTATTATAAAACACACAAGACAATGTATTGGTTAAATTGAGGGAGGTTGTTTTCCCAGAAGTAATTGGCATTTGTAAACTTCTCACCCAAACAACTTATTGGCTAATGGACAGACCAGACAGTTGTGTTCTGGAGTCATTGAGTTGGGGCTCCATCCCCAGTTCCCTCACTGAACAGCTGTACAACGTTAGCTCCTGACCCCTAAGACCATTACCATTTCCTTGTCTGCTGAATAGTAGGACTGGCCTCACGGAATTGCTCTTAAGGTTGCCTGAGATCCTATATATGAAGCACTTAGCGCAGAGCCTGACATAGAACATGCGGTCAACAGTTTTAGCTTTAAAATTCCCGCTTTTAAGTCCTATCCTCCCGAACCGTGTTTACGGAATCGGCACTTGCGTTGTAGGGCCACGTCTCTGAAGGGGGGTATACATAAAGTGTAACCTCGAAACACCGCACACAGGGTCCAGACAAAATCCTGCGTTTCACTCCAAGTACCGAGACCATCCGGGCCGATGCATTCCTCATGCTCTTAACTTTCTGCAGTACTTGTTTGAATTTTAAGAGTACCTGTGGATCCAGACTGTCGAGGAAAGCGACAAAACAAGGACTTCAAAGCGGCTTGGACACCGCTGCGCAGCAGGGCTGGTTCTCTGTCTTGCTGTCGTCTTGAAAATCCATCAGCACCAACGTCGTGTGTCTTCCTGAGAACTGTTTCCCTCTAGCGATGAAACCGCCACCCCGGAGAAGGGTGAGCTACCGAGGTGAGATGTCATCTCTAAAGGTGACAGGGCTGTAGCTTCTGTGCGTGATTGTGAAGCAAACACGCCAATGTTTCCCAGCAGAGTCGTCCTTGGGAACCACTGGAGGGAAACAGAATCCCGTTCCGTGGGTGAGGCGCCCGCAAGCCCCGCGAGGGAGTTGGGAAACAAACTGAAGGGTTACCTAGGGGAGGAGTTGCTGGTTCGAATATTTTGTTTTTTCTGGAACAATCCTGTGAAGCTGAGTTGAAAAACCCATCTGCGACCCTGACGTGTATAGTCCGTTCCTAACTGCAAACTTCTGAGTCGCTTGGAAGGTTTCCTGTTGACTTGTCAAGAAAAGACGTGGATCTGGCTTCAGGGGACGGGCACGTTTACCCGTAAAGTAAAGGGGCGCATGGGAGAGGAACCTGGAGGCCGCAGCCCTAAAGGAGGTCCTTAAATCTGCCTCTGGGCGAGTTGACAGCTGTCGTTTGCTAACTGTTCAAATCCTTCATGTTAGGCGTTTTACCATAGATGAAGGAAAGGAAATCAATATTTAGACTTCATTCATTAAAATTATGACTCGAAAAGTTTATATTCGACGTTGCCTCCCTCTTGCCTCCTCCTTGGCTATCCGAGGGCAAATGGCAGGCACCCTGTTCTGCCCAGTGAGTCCCCTGTAGCGCACCCACCAGCGGGGCTGCGGCTCTAGAGCATGTCCCTTTTCTTCACCATCGGCCTCTCCCAGGTGTCACTTCCAGCTGAAGCAATCCATTCTCTTGAAAAATTGTATGCAGTAAAAGCCAAGAGATTAATGTGTTATACCTTTTCCTATTTTGACAGGCAATATGCCTCAACCCAAAGTCAGACTTTTAGGAGTCATAATTGATTATATCTGCCACGATTTCTAGCAGATGAAACTTGTCATCCAATTCATCACGTTTACACTCCCTCCATCCCCATGGGGCCTTAATGAGTACAAGTGGCTGTTCACCTCCGCTCACCTTGATCTTCATGAGCGCAGGTATCCTGTCTTCTTTCTCACCGCAACAGTCGCTAGCACATTACACATGCTCCAACGTATTTGTTTTATGAAGGAGAAATGAAAGAAGGAAGGAAGTCCACTTTGGAGATAGCCAGATGGAGGGCTCAGTTACAGAATTTCCTGGACGTTATAGTCATTTGTGCGTTCCAAAAATTCATTCTCTCTGCTCCTGGTAATGGAAATTCCTGTGCAATAACCAGTCTTCTTCCGAGTCCAGCTTGTTACTCAGACCCAGCCAATCAACCACTAGGTCCCCGTGGCCACCATGACTATTGTAGGGACTGGCAAATGCCTCAAGTCAGTCCAACCACAGTGAACACCGTGCGTGGTGTGGAAGCCCAGAATCACCTCATCCCTCTCGCCACCATGAAGGGACAGTAGTGAGACCAGGTCTGTTGCATTGTAGAAGACCTGGATCTAGCAATGCCTGCAGCTAGGTCAATCCTTCAGTTATGTCAACTCCTAAATTCCATTTTGTCAAAGCCAAATATAGTTGGGTTTTCTGACACTTGCATTGGAAAAAGTCCTGAAGAAACAAATTCAATGCAGTAGTTACTAAATAAATATTTTGTTAGAAAATGAGGCCAGGTAAGGACTAGGGATGATCCAGAGCAAGAAATGAATGCATCATACCAATCATTGCTTGAAAATATTTTTCTATCTATCACTATAAATTAAAATAATTAACTGCTTTGTATGC